AAGGAATAGGAGACCATGGTAAATGAAGACCACATGAGAAGGTGAGAAGGGGAGGAAGCAAAAATTTTATAGGAATAGAGGACTTACATCATTTGCTCGAGGTACTATACTTAGCATAGGTGTCTTAAATTTGTTAGTAAGATCCAACTATGAAAATAATCATAAACATTTTTTATCCACAAAAATTTCACTGTGCACTATTTTAAATGTTCCTGGTTTTTGAGAATTTCATATATATATATATATATATATATATATATATATAATGAAATATGATCATATCTACCTCCATTTACCCCTTTAATGCTTTCCATATCCCCCCATGATGCCCCATTCAATTTCATGTTTATTCTTTTGATTACTCACTAAGTTCAGCTAGTAATACCCATATGTGCATGGGTGTGGGACCATCCACTGGATCATGGAAGACCTAACAGTTGCCAGATCCTCAATAAAGAATGATTCTCTCTCCTCTAGCAATTATCCTGGTCCAAAGCCTGTGACTGGGGAGATCATAGGCTGTACAGCAAAACCTGCTATTGTTATTTTGCTAAATGGTCGAGCTGTGACTTTGCCTTTAAAACTCTTATGCTTGCATTTATCCGTCCTGATTTCTCTCAGCTTGGCCAGTGAAGCTTCTTGCTCTGCAGTGGGCAGTGGTCGATGGACAGATTCACAACTGGTCAGAGTACTAAGAACGAAGCTCAGTGTACAACCCAAACTCTTGTATTCCCAAAGTCTTTCTGGAAAATGTGATGATGATAACCAGGCTTTCCATAAAGTAACTGCACTCATTTCACAGCATCACACAAGATGTCCACCTGTGGTCTGAACCTCCCATGGATCAGCTTGCTCTTACTCAGGCCCGCATCCCTCCCTCCCTTCTCAGTCTGATTTCTTAGCATTCATTCAATCTCCACTTTCATTTTCTTAATTAGGGATACAATTGTGAAATTAATCTCTAGTGTGAAGACATGTTTATTAATCCCTGTAGAAGCCTAGAGGAGGGGTGTGTCTAGTTTGTACCGTGATGTTTTCTGCTCTCCACAGAGGCAAGTCCCTATAAATGGAGCGTAAGGTCTCCAGAGAGAAGGCTTCTCCCAGAGCACACAATGTTATAAAATCAGTGCGCTCATTTATCAAGTTGTACAAATGGCAATGCTTTTTAAATAACAGATCAAATATATGACCCAGTAGGGTGAACATTGGTTCATAGATTAGGAGCTAAAGGTTATGGTTGAGTTCCTGTCAGTGGCTTCCACCTTATCGCTCCTGTCAGTGGGATCCCATTTCAATTCAACCGGCATTTGGAGGTACTTGTTAGGTATGAAAACCAGTTGCTCTGGCTTTCTTCTTCACATGAGGGTCTAGATAACAGCCAGAGTTCTAAGGTCAAGCATGTACAAGTCACCAGTTCACAGAGGTGTGGGGCTGAGGGGTCAGAGTGAGGGTGGTCAAGGCCAGTTTTGTAGAAAGATGAAACCCCAAGGAGAGAGCTACTTGTTCAAGGTGATAAGGAAAGTTAATGCTAAGCCAGTGAAACCTGCTGAGAGTTAGCCAAGTCAGCATCAGGCATTTCTCACTAAAAGGAAGAGATGGGGCATTCAGGTCCAGTTCTTATAGAACACTCATGAAGGTGTTAGATTTATTTCATAAACTTTCTTTATCAGCCCACTTAAGTTTGTCAATTTAAATAAGATCCTCTCTGCATTATCTTGTATTACAATTTAATTTGTTTTGTTCATTAGAAATAGAATCTATCACTTTGTCTTTTAGTAAATATTTAATCTTTCTGCCAAGATTATTTTTCTTATTTTATAACATTTCTGACATCAATAATATACTATTATAGTTAGTGTAGACATTTGGTATTGGTGTGTGTGTGTGTGTGTGTGTGTGTGTGTGTGTGTGTGTGTGTGTGTGTTGTACATATGCATTTGGAGGCCAGAAGTTGACATTGGGTGGCTTCCTCTATGGTTCTCCATCTTATTAATTTTTCTCTTTGAGACAGGGCTAACTGTGTAGCCCTGAGTGGCATAGAACTCACTATGCGGTCCAGGCTGAGCTTGAACTCAGAGATTCATCTGCCTCGGCTTCCTGGATGCTGGGATTAAAGTCATGCACCACTGTGTCAAGATATCTGCCTTAATTTTTAAGACAGAGTTGCATAGAATCCTGAGCTTGCCATTGCAGCTGTACTGACTGAGAAGTGAGCCTTGAGATCTGCCTGTCTCCTCACTGCTCCAGTGTAACAGATGTGTAATGTTACATAGACCCAGCTATTTCAAGTGGGTCCTCATGCTTGAACAGGAAGCAAGTTACCCACTAAACCATCTCCTACCCCTAGTTATTTGGGTTTAGTACACCATCAGTGCCGTACTTAGTAAATCAACTAGTTTTTACTCTCTGTTAATGTCCCAATGATCTGAACCCACGCTATCATGTGCCTTCTGTTTGTTGTGCAATTCTGTCCTCTGAGTCAGTCTTATATAAAGTCCAACATCTATTCTAGTACGTAGGTGACACGAGAGTGGCCGGCCTTCTTCACTATGCTTTCTTTCTCTACCCACCGGCCCCTCCACTCCTTACATCCTGTGATGATTCAGTGATGGCTAATCACCCTTACCTCCACGTGGAAGGAGCAGTCCCTTCATTTATGTTTCTAAAACAGTTATTTTCACTCTGGTTTCTTTACACAACTGCCAGAGAAGTGAACATTCTATTCTGTGAACCAGGGGAGGCCTGAAGGCTTTGCGAAGAACTATGAGAACTTGTTTTGATGGAGGTATGCAATAGAGATGGGAGGAGAAAGTGTAAGACTTGGGAAGTCATCAGGGCTTCACACACTGATGAGAAGGAACAGAGGAACTTGAATGGAGGCAGGGATCTGGGAAGTCTTGGTGGGTTTCTGGTTCTAAAGCTGTATGAGTACTAAAAAGTGGGGAGAAAGATGGGAATGGGGGAGCTGGTCTAGGTGGTACAGGGAAAGTGCTAAGCCTTGTCTGCAGAGCCTTGTCAAGGGGAGTTGGACAAGGAGGAAAACAGCTGTGCATAAGATTGGCTGACCGTAGAGAATCAGGAACTTCATGCTTGTTTGATGCCTAACTGCTCCTATCCCACCACCTTCAGCCTCGGCCCCATCTGACTGGAATGGTGGCCCTGCAGTTTGCAGTTTTCTATTGATAAATAAGATGCCCAAGTCAGAGCCAGAAGGGCTGTCCTGGGGGTCTTTCTGACCATACAGGCAGGGATGCTCGTGCAGGGAGGAGCACAGGCTCAGGTTGGGGGGCTGTAGCAGAGTCAGGACCCGTCCCTAAACCAGTGGTGCTCACACCCCACAGCAGCCTCAAACTTCTAGAAAAGTCAGACAGTAAATGCATCCTCTTCTTTGTTCTGTTGTTTTGATTATTTTTCCTTTCGACACAGTAGTCATTGAGGGTAGTGTCTGGGTTTTCTTAATTTAAGTATTTATTCCTCCATGGATTCATTAAATGTCAATTTAGCTATTTTTATCTATTATGTATGTGGTTACCTCTTTTCAGCTCTGAGAACAACACAAAGTCTGGAACAAAATTCTTGTCATCCTTCAGTTTATATTCTAGAGGGAAGAATTAGGCATGAAGCATAAAAACACAAATAAATGGATTATTTCCATTGATAGTGAGTGCTCTGGCAAAATGATAAACCAGGAGGTTGGAGTTAGAGATCTGGGTGGTAGGAATGCAGTGAGGTTTGGAATGTCTTCTATGTGGGCTGTATGGCTCAGGCTTATCTGAAAGGGTGCGGACATTTCTCTGAGGTGGTTGCTCAGTCAGTGAGTGAGTGACACAAACTCCAAAGCATAGCTGTATTTTCTTTCAAAGGGCACTAGTGAGTCACAGAATCAGAATGGCTCTATATGGTATTTTCTATAGTCCTAAAAGTAACTTTCTGATCGTAAGAATCAATGTTGGAAATGTGCTTCTAAAATTTCTCATTGGGGAAAATTTCAATACATTAGGACCATCTGGACCAGAAACCAAACCAATATTCTAGAAGCCATTTGCTTTATGTTCGTCTGTGGTCAATTTATTTAAAGATCAACTTTTTTGGAATATTGAATTTTTAGAATATTTAGAAATTATAAGTATTATTTGTTCAGGTATATATGGTTTTATTTTTTTCATGTTTAACAAACTAACAAAAGTATGTTTTGTACTTTTGCATTTATAATAAATATTTACTGATTATATTTACATTTAAAATGATCATAGTTTTAATTTGTATTTTTTTTTACTGTTTGTCTATTTGGAACTCTTTATTTAAAATTTATATACAAGCATACAGTTAAAAATAACACAGATATGTATGCACCAGGGTAATGGATAGTGGATTCTAAATAACACAAATCTTGTGTATGTTCTAAGAATGGGTTTTGTTATTTTTCTGTTACATAGCAAAACATTGCCAAAGACTATTATTCTGTTATTTCAGTTTTCAAGTTTGTTATTATTATTATGTCTGTGTATGTATGTGTGTGTAAATATGAATGAACATATGCCATGGAGAGCTTGTGGAGGTCACAGGACTTTTAGGACTTTTCCTCTTTCCACCCTGTTATGGAAAGTTTATTTGGTTTCTGTTGCACTGTGCACTGCAGGCTAGCTGGCCCGCAGGATTCTGGGTATTTTACTTGGCTTTGCCTTCCATCTTGTCATAGGAATCCTGGGATTACAGAGTGCTACTATATCAAGCGTTTTTTCTTACAAATGTGGGTTCCAGAGATGGGACTGAAGTCAGGCTGTGTGGCAAGTGCTTTTACCAGTGTAACCATTTCTCCAGCTGTGCTACATTTGCTAAATGATTTCTGAGCCACAGTTTTGTAACTTGTTTATTTTCATTTTAAAGATTCATTGTTATAACTTATTGGCCATTCTTTAAAACTGCCAGTCTGAACCTCTGTCAAAATGAGCATGTCTTTACTCCTGCCAAGAAGTTCAAATTTGAGCTCAGCGCCTGTTTTGTGACATCATCATTTATGTGCTGTGTCCTTAAGACCAACACAGGGCTTTACTATTGTAATGAGGAGGCAAAATCACAGCTCTGCCGTTGAATTTATCCTCTTGGGATTTTCTAACTATCCTGAACTCCAAGGACAGATGTTTGGGGCTTTCTTGGTTATTTATCTGGTGACTCTAATGGGAAACGCCCTCATTATCGCCATCATCTTCCTGGACCAGAGCCTGCACATCCCCATGTACCTGTTCCTGCAGAATCTATCTTTAGTGGACCTCTGTTTCAGCACAGTCATCACACCTGAAATGCTGGTGGTCCTGACCACCCAGAAAGCCACCATTTCCTTTGGGGGCTGTTTTGCACAGATGTATTTCATTCTTCTCTTTGGTGGGACTGAGTGTTTTCTCCTGGGGGCGATGGCTTATGACCGATTTGCTGCAATCTGCCATCCTCTGTCCTACCCGGTGATTATGAACAAGAGGGTCTTCGTGAAACTGGCTATATTCTCATGGGTCTCGGGTACTATGATGACTACTCTGCAGACCACGTGGGTGTTTAGTTTCCCCTACTGTGGCCGTAGAGAAATTAACCATCTCTTCTGTGAGACCCCTCCAGTGCTGGAGCTTGCATGTGCAGACACGTTCCTGTTTGAAGTCTATGCCTTCACAGGCACCATTTTGATTGTCATGGTCCCCTTCCTATTGATACTCTTGTCTTATACTCGAATTCTCTTTGCCATCCTGAGGATGCCATCAAACACAGGGAGGCAGAAGGCCTTTTCCACATGTGCCTCTCATCTCACATCTGTCACCCTCTTCTATGGCACGGCCAGTATAACTTATCTACAGCCCAAATCCAGGTACTCACCAGACACCAAGAAACTGATGTCATTGGCATACACACTGCTTACCCCTCTGCTGAATCCACTTATCTACAGCCTGAGAAACAAGGAGATGAAAAGGGCTGTGGTGAAATTATGGGAAAGAAAAGTGGCTTTACACACAGCTTGATTTCTGGAGGACTTTGTTGTTTTTCTATCATGCTATTAAACTCTGTATGGATTCTGGAGGTGGTGAAAAGAGAGTACATTTTTTTGGTTAGAGAATGTTTTCTTTCTTGACATCTCCATGTTTGAAAACCTATCATGTTATCCTCTTTTAATTGTGTAGCCAATAGTTTTTAAGAGGTATATGTTCCATAACACACTATTCACAGTTTATTGATCCACCTTCTGCTATCGATGTACAGATCATTGCTAGAGTGCTGCCATTAAGACAATGCTTCAGTAAACATCTAATTCCTTACATTCATGTGCTTGTTGATTTTATTTTTATGTGATAGATTCAAGGATGACCGAGGAGATTAATTATTTTGTATTTACATACTTGAATAGGTGTTACAGATGCCCACTGAAGTGATACATGCTTTTAATCCCAGTATTTGGAAGGTCAATGCAGGAAAACCCAGAATTCAAGATCAGCCCGGGGTACATGTGTTCCTGAGTACTGTGAGCTATATAGACAGTGAGACTCATCTTGAGAATACAAAGGCTGCGGGCTGAGGATGTCACTCAATGATAGAATGCTTGCCTAACATGCACTAGGCCCTAGGTTTAATCCCAGCACCACAAACCAAGCAAGAAAAGTAGCAGAATTGCTATTCACATGTATCTGCTTACTTCAGGCTGATGTTGAACTCCACTGAGCACCACTCCGGTCTGGAGCAACAGGAGACCAATGACATGACATGGTTTTTCTCAGGAGAAAATCCATTCCAAGAAAGAGTAAAGAATGCATTTATTTTGGGGTTCCCAAACTCATTTGAATTCATATGTTCTCAGATTATAATAAAAAACTGGGTTACTTTTGGAAATATATATATATATATGTATTATACACACACACACACACACACACACACACACACACATATATATATATATATATATTTATATATGTATGTATGTATAGGCTGCCCCACGGAAGCCACCCAGGCTGCCCGCCTTGCCAAGTGGGCAGCAGCAGCTGCCACTTCGATGAACAAATATGTGACGGAGAGGTGGAAATGGTGGAAAGATGGAGTGTTAGGCATGAGCACTGTGGATAGAGGTGGGACTGGAGAGGGGATGGTAGTGACAGTGGAGAGAGAGTGCTGGGGTTGATTTTGAAACATGTCATTGCCCAGTAGGGCCAGCAGGGTAGTGTGCAGCAGCCTGGAACTTATGCAGATACAGATTCAGCCCCTGAACACACAGACCAACCATGGGATATCCCTGGGCAGCGATGGAAGACCAAGATGAGGAAAGTTTCACTTTCTGGATTGGACCTCCTTGAAGAACCACCATGGCCCTAGATGCTGTCACAGGCCATGTTAGTGTTGGTGGTCCATGCTGATGACCCAAGCCGAGATGAAGCTTGAGATCCATGTGGATGTTCAAGGTCTGTGCCGCTGACTGAACCCATGTTGATGTTCATGGGTCATGCTGCTTCTGGAGGCCATACTGATTTGAGTAGGCCTTGCTGTCACCTGAGACAATGGTGATGGTCCTTGCTGCCACTGAGGGCCATGTGTAGGTCCATGATACTACTGTGGCCAGGTTCTAGATGTGTTGATGCTCATGGCCCATGTTATCACCAAAGGCCATGTTGATGTATGTGGTTCAGGCTGCCTTGGAGGGCCTAGTCTGGATTCATGGTTCTACTGCAGCTGGGGCCATGTTTGTGGTCTGTGCTGTCACTAGAAACCATGTGGAAGCCCATGATCTGTGCTCCCATTGACTGAAGAGCAAGGAACCCACTTTTGCAGTGATACTGATGACTGCAGATGCATAGTTGAGAAAGAGGGACATGGAAGGCCTCTGTGACAACTCCTACCCCCACCCCAACATTTCCCTCAAAAGTAACATCCTGAGCAAGAAGTATTGAAGAGAACTCTTAAAAAGCATGATAAAGATGCTGAAATGAAGTTATCTGTAATTGATGGCTTCTGGTGGGAGTGCGAGAGGAGAACAACTCATTTCTATTTAAGGAGCAAGCCACTGAGAGTTTGACCATTCTCCAGTGAGTATATAGATAACACAAATTGGACTTGTTTTTTTCATTATTTTTCTATCTACAAAAAATTTTGGGGTGGAAGGTTACAAAGGGGGCAGACATGGAAGGCCTGGGAAGTGAGTATGATCAGGGTGCATGATGTGAAATTACAAAATAATCAATAAAAATATTATGCTAATAAAAATATTAACAGCTCCATTTCTTTCTGATAGTGTAAAGTTATGTCAAGCTATGTAGAAATCCCCTACTGTTTCAGAAGAACATTATCTTTTTAAAAACAAGAGGAGGAATCCCTCTGTCTATGGGGATATGTGCTGACAAGAATTCTAAAGGATATGTAGAATGACAAATATAATAAATATATGTTAATATATATATCTTAAATTTGTTCTTTGAGATTTAATACATTTATGAAATGCATTTTGAATGCATTTACCCCCCAATCCCTCTTCCAAGTCCTCTCAGATTCTCCTATGTCCTCTTTTCAATTTCATGACCTTTTACTTATTTATTTTTTTAAGACTTTACTGAGTCTAATTACTGCTGCCTGTGTCCAGGTGGGTATAGGGCCATCTACTGTAGGAGAAGCATGGCCACACTTCTGAAGAAAATGACTCTGTCTTCCTTAGCATCCATCAAATGTCAATAATTACTTAGCTAAGGTTTGAGTAGGGCTCTTGTGCCCTTCCCCTGTCCATGCAAGTATGCTGACTGGCTTGACCGTGTACAGGTAATCATCACTGTGGTGAGTTCATGCTTGCAGCAGTTCTTTTATGTCCAGAAGATAACTATTTTTTCTAACCCTCCTGACTCCTGTCTCTTACAGTCTTTCTGCCTCTTCTTCTGTGATGTTTCTTAAGCCTTATGGGGGATGTCATATAAATACCCCATTTATGAATGGATACTCCACAGACATTTATTTTCTGTACTTTGGCCAGTTGTGAGTCTCTGTATTAACTAAGGTTCACGGAAAAAGAAGCTTATCTGATGAGGAATAAGAGTTGAAGTCCTTATTACTGGAGACACCATATACTTTGGTCACCATACATGGGAAAGTCAAGCTCTTAGTGATCTAGAAGCTTTCTTTTTTCTAGCTTGTGTTCATAGTACCAGAAGAAGCTCCATGGGCTGCTGGAGGATAAAAATCATCTTTTCCACCCAGCTGTGAACCTTACGAGACATAATAATGGTTGGCCTGGCAACATATGCTCATGGGTGCAATAGTGTCCCAAAGGTTATGGGGGCAGCCAAGCCCTTCCTGATTGGATTTAAGACCTGTGGTACAGAAGGAAATTCATGCCTGGTTCTTTAAATCTGTCTAAAAATCTAGGCTCTAGGAGACATTATACTTCTATTTGTTCATTAAATAAATAAACTGCCTACTTTTGTACTCTTACAAATATTTATAAAATATTAATGGTCAAAAGGTATGCGGGAAGTTCCTGAATTCTCACTTGGCAGTCAGTGTTGGTGCAGTTTCCACTTACAAAATACTGTTTTAAAAGACTTTTATTACATGTTCACTGGTAGGACAAAATACCTCACACATGAATAATGAATTGTTCATTGAGTCAGGTTACCCACTGTGTGGCCTTTTCAGACTGAATACCTCCACAGGTTATGAAATTTGTAATATTTTCTGTTTATAGCCCTATCTCTCATTTCCTTGTTGCACTTAGAGAATATGAGATGTGTGTCTATTGAATCTGCACCACATGAATGCTTATGCTCTTATATTCTTCTCCATGGATGGCATTAAGGGGTAAAGTGTTGTTTTGTTTCCAAGTTAAATACTATGACCATTGAACCCTAAAACTGATCTTCTACTCATATTCCAATGGCTAGAGATGACGGCTGTGTGTGTGTATGTATGTATGTGTGTGTGTCTTTGTGTAGATAGTGCTGGTGCCCAAGGAGGTCTGAGGCATCAGATCCTCTGGAAATGTAGTTGCAGGGAGTTGTGACCTGCCCAGTTTCAGGTGCTAGGAAAATCAGGTGTTCTGAAGAGGCAGTATGTGGTCTTAGATAAGAGCATCTCTCCAGATGCTGAGCCATCTCTTCAGCCTCACACTATTTATTGATTGATTTTGAAATAGGGTCTCCCTTGGAGCTTGGAGCTCAATAATTTGGTTAGACTAGTTGTCCAGTGATCTCTAGTAGCCCCCTCCCCCTCCCCAGCACTGGGAGTATAGATATGTGCCCCTGTTCACAGTCATTACTTGTATGCTGGTGATAGAAATGCTTGTACAGTAAGCACTTTACTGATTGGGCCATCTCTTTGGCCCCTGCTTGCCAGGTCTTTGTAATTATGCAGTGAGTCTTCTCTTGCAGAAGAATCTCAGTGCTGCATAGGCTTATTGTATTTTGTGTTTAGATGCTTTAAATTGGGAGAGAGAAATGGTGTGTTTGGAACGACGACATGTTGACGCTCTATCAGCTAGATGCAAAATGTCATATAATGTGTCTTTGAACTCCAGCTAGACATTATAAATAAAACAGCTTCTTCTAGAATTGTATGATTGTAAATATCATTTACATGGGAAGTAGTAGGAATTTCATGTGTTATAACTGTGAACTTACTTACATTATTCATTATTCATACTATTCAACATTATTAATTGAACATAGATAAAGTACCATTATGGCACAGTTTAGTGAGAAATTCAGGAACCTACAGTAAAAATGAAAACATCCTAATTGGCTCTGGTGGTACATCCATCCCTTATTATTCCAGCATTTGAGAGGCTGAAGTAGGATCATAAGTTCCAGGTCAGCCTGGGCTACATAAAGCAAAATAAAATCAATGAACAAACAAACAAAAACTCACAAACAAACATATAAAGGTTTAAAAATATCAAAAGAAGCAAGGAAACAATAATTTTAAATGCTGGTTATACCATCTTCAAGTTCTTTGCCGTTTACGTCTCCTTGGTGGACTTCAGTTTCTTTGCATACAAAGGACAGAGTGCCGGTGATGGCAACCTTACTCGT